GTGAAGGATTGCCACCTAAAAACTAGTAAATTCGTCATGATAAAAAAAAATCAAGCGTTACCCATGTTCCAAGCAACATTTCATTACTATGAACCCTGCAACTAACCCTACAGCGCGGCATCCAGGTATGAAACTCTTGAAGCCACTGGCGAAGTAGCGTTGATGGGCACATAATTAACGACGGTCCGAGACCTTTGAAACTAGAAATGAAATGCTTAAAAAGTGAAACTTCTCCTGAATAGAGAAACAGACGAACTTCATGTAATTGTCAGCGATTTGTGATTCGTCGATTGCTCGTAGAAATGCTATTACCTGGATGGGATCAACATTAATAACAGAGGAAAATTATCTTTTTGTATCGAATCCACTGATACTACCTGCACTGTCTTCCCAAGACCCATTTCGTCTGCTAGGATACCACCAACGTACTCCTCATGTAACCCTGTGAGCCATACCACACCTTCTTTCTGATACCTATAGAAAACAAAAGCAAATAGTCTCTATTATCAATGAATAAGATCATTAGGATTTTGCGTAGTTAATTCACATACGGCTCTGATGTGCGTATAAACTGAAAACTGAAAATTCTGACCGATGGCAACTTGTTTATCTGCTATCAGACAAACCTGGCTACCTCTACCGATATCGATCAATGACTTTTCCTGTTTCGCAAAACTTCGCCGACATCGAGTACGAGAATCACTTCTTCGAAGGTTCTCTCCTCTTGGTGTGTCTCCGGCTGCTTGGTGGGGAGCTAGGTGATGCGACCCCAGGTGGTGGATCGGGAGCGAATTGCGGAGCAAACGAACAGGCTTCGGGCTTAAGTTGCAGGCGAATCCAGTAGATGGAGTTCCTGATTCAATTGTACTGAGTCAGTTTATGCCTTTTATCTTCACGCAAGTATAACCATGCCTGAGTTTGCGGGAGTTTGGTAGCCTCCCACTCAGCTCAGTAGAAAGCTTGCATATTAGTGACTGAGCAGTACTTCAAAAGCAGCCAGGGTGAGTAAACCCCTTGCCCGTGGCGTGATGCCATGGATAACTATCCGGGTAAGAACGTGGGCACCTAAGTGTTAGAAGCAGTAATTAATCAGTATTTCCTCTGCACCTGGGAGAAGCTCCAGGTGCATCAGGTCTCAGAGAATAAGACTAAAGCTCGTATGTCTTGTCGATTTTTGTATTTGTATTTTATTAGTAAACGACAGTAGCGCACGCAAGCTAAGTTTTCTTGATGAGAGGTTGCTGCTCGACCACGCAGCATATAAACTACGAAGACTCTGAAATGCTCGAAAGCCTACTTGAAGAGACGATCCCAAACACTCCGAGAGACTTTCAGTTTCTCGCCCAGTTGTTTGTAGTCCAGTTCTTGAGGTGGTGGTTCACCAAGTTGGCTAAAAAACAATACTGAACAACTATGGCTTTTGCCACCAAACGGTTCTTGTAAACAGCACTTGCTCGTTCACTAACCTGAGTCGTTCGACAAAGTTGGCATCATTGCTGTCATCACAAGTTGATCTAAATTTTGAGCCTGCAATTTCTTTTCGTTTCCTTATGCGTTTCGTTTTCTTTTTCATCGTTGATGCCCTGGAGACAGCCGAGATTCAGCAGAACTACCTCTATAATTTTTCATAGATCTACCATAAGTTATGGGATACATCGTACTTTGGTTTCGCATATTTCATTTCCGTATCATCTATAAGCAAGTCATCATCGGATGGTGATCTGCTTTTAGCTTCTTCTGCTACTTGCTCGTTCACTCGCCCAAGTCGTTCGCTGAAGTTGGCACCATTGCTGTCACCACGTGTCAACTTGGATTTTGGGCCGTCGTCCTTTTTTTGCTTTTTTAAGTGCTTCCTTTTCGTTTTCGTCGTCGATTCCCTGGAGACGGTCGAGATTTAGAAGAATTACATCTCACAATTTTCCATAGATCTATAATAAATTACGAGGTACATCGTACTTTGGTTCCGCGTATTTCGATGTCGTATCATCTAAAAACAGGTCATCATCAGATGATGACCCACTTGTAGCATCCTCCGCTACGAAATCTTCATCGTCATCCGACACTTCAGTACTTGTACTTGTTTCCTCGTCATCTGCAACAGCAGGAAGGTTTTCAAATTGTGACATGAAAATTATTAGTTTCAACTAGAAGTTATATTTGCCAATGCTGAAGGATGAGAACACTACGTAACGAACCATTAGCTTGTAACAACCAGATCTAGTGAAGTACGACACCCAACTTCAATATCCTTATGTATAAAGCACTCTGCCTGTCTGTGCGTCGGTCTGCATCTCAGTCAAATAATTTGGTTCTACCTGAGGAAGCACCTGAAAACGTGCGGGTCAAGTTTGGGATGAGTGGGGCATATTCCTATCCATAAAGGGCTTTGTCTCTCTGCGTGTTGGAGTGCCTGTCCAAAACGAAATCTAATACTTCCTCACGGAGTAAATTTTTGCCTGGGAGGAATCGGACATGCAACGAGGAGTCTCGAGAACTTGCTGCTGTTCTTCTCGACAAGCAAACGTAGCAACTAAATCAGCCATACCAGTTTCAACCCCAACAGCGTCCATAGCTTCATTTCGAGGCTTTGATCCAGAGAACAGGTCGACGTTCATAGGACCTTCGCCACTGTCACCTAGCATAGTTGCGAGAACCTTAATAATTAGCTTTGAACTACCAAATCTATAGAAAACATCGACCCTGGAATAGGCAGTGAAAAATAACACACTTCGGTCTGAAGCTGAGACGCGTCATGAGTAGTAACTCCTTCCAAATTGAGTTCATCAGTGAATTCCGAATCATCAGACATGCTAGCTGAAGGGCTGCGATCACCTAAACAACGGTGATCGAGAGTATGCCGCATAGCTATACGAATTTACAACTGCCATATTCGACCGCATGAAAAAGTGTAGCCTACCAGCACTGATATGACCCGAGCTCCTCCTCTTTTTCTTGATTTGAGGTTCCCCTTCTGCTTCTGAATGGGTTAATTGTGGGTCTATCGATGCATCCGTAGATGTTCCAACACTCTGAACAGTAGTGGATATGAACAATATATGCAATGATCCAGCAGCTTACACTTACATCATGGAAGACGTCCATGGCTTCGTCACCTGAGTTGCTGATTTCCTCTGCTGGTTCCATAATATGTATGTTATTAAACGGTGCTGAATCGGAAGCGCCTGAAATAAACTTACACAAAACCCGTCAAAATGGGCATACGCAATATCAAAGAGACACTTCTCGCCTATCATCATCGCTTATCACCCTTACTATCGCTCCTTGTTAATATGCCCCTTCAGTCCTTTTACATTTGTAAGATGGTCACACAGCAGATTATGATTTGGCGAAACACATATAACTGGATATATGCAATACGCAAAGTGAAGCCAAGAGACCCGAATTTGTGCTGACCCAAACTTGCTCTGAAAGTTGCACACTTCCGCCGACACCTCCTCCATGGGCTTCATCGGTACGAGTCGAGCGCAGCACTATAGTTTGGCTTATTTATACAGGCCAATACCTACCCATAGAACATTAGCACTTCTTTCGAGGTTTTGTAGTTTGGAACTTTCACAAAGGCAGGTTGGTGCAAAAAAGGAAGTTTTGCAGCCTTTTTCTTTGAGCCTACCTTTATAGAGAGAAAGAAGAGATGGAAAACAGCTATTCACAAGGCTACAGGGGCTGCCCTTCTACTTTTCTCGTCCGCAGAGCACAAATGGTGTTTCGCTGAGCTCGAATAACCGGCTAATATTATCACAAAGATAGGGGAACGAAGGATCGGGACCATGCCCCCACATGTGCGTAAGCAAATGATAAACTAGACTACTGATCACTTCTGGTGCTCTCAAGTTCAAATTCTTTGCTCCATTCCGCTATGACAACCATAAAAAAGAGTTGCAAGAACGTAGCTGGGCTGCACCGCTGTTTTTCATGTCCACTAGCCTTTAAAAGCACTCCCTACACCCGTTTGATTAATACGTAGCTAGGAGGAAGAATAAAAGATGAGGCAATTTTTAAAGGCCTCCAAGTTCTCAGCTGCCCGTAGAGCAAATATCTGTTTTAGAGCGAGATATGTGGCATGTGAATTTCGTAAGCCGAGCAGCGCGTTTCCTGGCAAACAGTTGTCATGACGTCAATAGTCTGGCGGTTGCTCGTTGTTATGGCCTGTTTGTATTGTGCTGCCTCTTGTGAATGAAGAGTCTACGTATTGGCCAATGTGCCGTTGAGCGCATTTCTTGATAGGACTTTCTTGTATTGACTTTTCGCCATTGCTTTCGCTGTTTCAAGTGCCATGTGCTCGGCATTCTAATCGAAAGCCAGCATTACGGCATAGCATAGCATACTGGCTGTTCATGGAAGGTTTGTGAGGAGAATGAGAAAAATCAATTAGTTGAAGATAACTCATCATTAAGGGCTCACGCTCTGAATTCCTTACAACCGATTTTCAATTTTGTCGTTTTTGCAACAATTTTCGAAGCTGCTCAATTTGATAAGGCGGCTAGATCGCGATACAAGGGGACTTATGTTGTTCTTCTCTCAATGAATCATTACGAGCAAAACCTTGATCGGAGGGTTTACCTGAGAAACGTAGGGAAACAATGTTATCCCTATGTGGATGTTAAGGTTGCTCTAGTTATTTCAACATCCTCCTAAGTCTTTGCTTTCGTCTTGTTATTTCAGGTAGGGATATAGCTTTGCCTTCTTCCTATCGATTCATTCATCTGCAGGATAATGCCATTTACTGCAAGATGGCCGGAGGTATCAGCACATCATGTTTTTCTAGGCAAGTGTGTTAATTGTGTCGCCAAAGGCGGCAAGCAGTAAACAAGCACCAAAACCTGAAGATGAAGTTACGCTTTAATTTGCTGTTTCTTGCCATGAAGGGAATGCACGGGGATTCCAAAATGACATAAATCAGTTGTGCAAAGTGAAGCCGAAGCTCTTGACATGTCTCCGTTTCTTTTATGCTAAAATAATGTGAAAGTTGACATTCCTTTCAATAACTTATTTATTTTTTGTAATGTAAATGTAGTGGTTGATTTCATTATGTATCAATGTGTTGAATATCGTTATTTAGTTTTTTAGACAACATTTTGCTGTTGTAACCTCAAATCTTCAGGTGAAAAAAAGGAAAAAAGACACAAAAGACCGATCAGTGATTGTTAAGTGGCTTTTGGTATTCAGTATTCTGGCAGATGACGCTAGTGCTGATAATGAACGTATTCTTCGTTATCATGCATTGAGTTTTCTTCACAAACGAGGTTTTAGCCGTTTTTACTCGTGGTTTTAGAATGGAATNTATTAGAACCGACAGGATCAGAAGAAATTACGGTTGATTGTGCTGGGATGATGATAATGAACGTATTCTTCGTTATCATGCATTGAGTTTTCTTCACAAACGAGGTTTTAGCCGTTTTTACTCGTGGTTTTAGAATGGAATTCTATTCACAAACAAAGTGTCAGCCATTGCTTTTCTCGTGATTATAGATTACAATTCTTCTTACAAACAATGTTTCAGCCGTATATTTCCGTGGTTTTAGGATTTCAATAATAGGTTGGTGGTGTTTGTAGAGTTGTAAAACCATGTCACACCGGAGATAAGAATGTGGCCCCAGCGATCTCAGCCCGCATCCATCACGAGGGATGACCTCACGCCTTCGTTCACGTGCGACAGACAGGGCGTGGCTATTCATCGAACTTGCCAGAACACGTCATTGTGTATTGATGATCGTAGTGTATGATAGACGTCACTGCGATTTCCTCCCCATAAATCCTCTGTTGACTCCTCTTTTTTGCTTTGAATCAATCACATTATGCTGTTTTGGGTTACTTCGGCTGGTTTTGTTGGCTTCCCTTTCTTATATCGAGCAATAACGTGATTGGTGTTGGTTTGTTAATCCTATCTAATCCTCACTTGTCCCCTCTTCTTCTCTTTGAATCAATCAGAATTTCGCTGTTTTGGGTTATTTCATCAGATTTGTTAGTCCGTAAATGGAGCAATAGAGTGATCGGTGTTTATTTGTTTATCTCATCAAATCCTCTCTTGATTCCTCTTTTTCTCTTTGAATCAATGAGATCACGCTATTTCGGGTTATATCGGCATATTTTGTTTGTTTCCTTTCCGTAAATGGAGCAATAACGTGATCGGTGTTCGTCTGTTTATCTGTATCTCTGCCCGTCCGCGAAACCTCCCGTGCCTTTGATAGAGATAGTGGTGATGTGAGATCTCATGGCAAACAATGGTGGTATTAATTGGAAGGAACTTGAAAGGCACTATTTAAAGTTATCGGTAGCGCTTATACAGCATCGGTTATATCATAGGTGTATACTTCGCCTTCTTGCTGCTGATCAATTGATCGCGATTGACATCGAGTTGAGCCCTAGTCAAGCAAAAATCGTTACCAGACTCCTTCTACAGTAGAACAATTATGTAAAATGCGTACTGCTTGGTCACTCTGCAGTAGTATGATACCAGTAGGCACTGATGATCACTTAAGCCCCCTACCGTTCATACAGCTTTGGAGTTGTGACTTGGATGTATAATTATGTGAATGTCCGTAGACCTTCTCCAGATATTTGCATGACGCACATATCCGCGTCAGGACGTAAGTACTATGAAGCTTCCACTCTAAGGATGTTCACAGGTACTATGAATGTACTATGCTCATGTAGGTACTATGAGTGCGCTCAATCGTTTGTTCAAAGGGACATTAGTCAGTCTTATATTTGATGATTTTATCTTAGGCCGTGCTTGACAAGAAAGATTTTCCGCATCTCTAGTGAAATACAGGTTCTTTCTGACTGCTTAAATTGCCAACAATTGCGGTGCTACTTCCCTTTATACTGTCGGGATGATATTTATACATTGCACCAATTTTCAATGTTAGCGAAAGCGCTTTTTGTGGAAGGAGCTTGCGTGCGTATTGAAATGCCGAATCGGTCCGGATCGTGATTAGGAGGGATTCCAATGCGAAGAATTTGCATTTATCAATTCGTGTCGAGATGCGCCCACGTGTTCAATCTTCTGGCAAGATTTATTGTGTCTGAATGCGTAATTTAGCGGTTCAGCGGTGCGGTTCGCACAGGCAACACTATAAACACATGCATTGATATTTCCACCCGCCTAGGCAAAGTTGCAACACAGATGAGTTGCGTGGACAAGTCGAAATTTCATCAGTACTTTTTTGCCTTAGTGAGTCTGTTACTGTTTTGCCACTCCTGTGGAGTAGAGTAGATACACAAGAGTTCTGGTTGGTACGATAGGGTTTTCAGCCGGTATCGAGCTACCGTTGATACAACACGAACAAGTTACGCGAAGTAGGTAAACTGTTGGTACGTCTTCACTGCTCTTCAAAAAGAAAGATTAGGAGGAAACCGGCAGTTTCAAGCATGTGTAATGTTTCGTTGCGTGTATTGGGTATCGTTTGTTACTTTTTAATTGCTAAGTTTTTGTAGACTTTTTAGTTTTACGCTGCTCGAGGCATTGCTCTAATGCAATGCAGCAATCACATGAACAAAGTCTCATTTTTGGCAGACAGCTGTTTAGAAACTTTGATCCATGTGTCCGTTCCACGTGCTCGTTATTTGTAAACTAATCCTTCCGCCCAACAGTGTTGACATCTTCTTGGCGGCGTACTATCGTCTCTTCAAAAAACAAAGTTGTTTAAAGGTGGCTTGCAATTGATTTGTGATGGGAGTGACTAGTTTGATTTTGGTATCGGGATGAGTTGTCATGGAGAAAGGGTTGAGTCACTCGTGTACAAACAAAGTGTGTCGTCTATGCTGTTTTCGATATTAGCTATAAAACCGGTGAGTCAAACTCAACCATTTTTTGGTATACCTTATTTCCATAGGAAGTGGAGCGAGATCGAGTTTTGCTCGATTGGGTACTTTCGACCGAATTTCTTACCCAATTCCTCGTAAGTAGCTCGGAGCGTGATATACTGTAAAAGTACAAGGGGTTACTTTCAATGATTTATGCACAGTTATTCCGTTCTTACTTTTTCGGAGTGCAGGTCTGTGGTTGGAAAATACTAGCTTGGAATTTCCGTGAAATTCTTCTGTTCTTTAGGTGATTGCGATCTCGTCATACATTAAACATCGAAATCGACAATATTTATTAGGCATTACACTACATTAAACATCGAAATCGACAATATTTATTAGGCATTACACTTTCTACCAGTTGTTGGGAAGCATTACCATCAAACCTTGTGTTCCGCCTTTCTATCATCATTTTGCTATGTTGCCGACTAGCTGTCGCTGTGTAAGTCCCCGTGAAAAACGCCTGTGACGTAGTAAATGGGGAGAATGAGAGAAAAAAGCGATCGTGATAACTCGTATTGATTTTCTCGACGCAAGCGCAATGTTCTCGTCGGGCACTTTACTTCGATCCGGTCCTGAACGCAATGGCTAGACGCCATAGAACGCCGAAACTTCTTCGCGGCACCCAGTTGGCTCAGGCTCTGTGCGTCCTTACCTTAAGGCCTCAAACGTTCTGACTTGTACATTTTGCATGGTACTTGGCTAATTTAAAAGAGAGGAAGCAGTTTTCTGTTTAGTTCTTGATTGTCACACTGTGAGGTAAAAGTTGTTCAAAAGTTAATCGATGGTGCTTTGTCTTCACCCTCTCCGTCACCGGTGATCATATTAACTTATTGTTCTCTTCCTTTCATTTGAAATCCCTCACTGTTCGTTTTTTGACTTTTTTATAAGTTTTTGAAACCTTTTTTTTTTTTCGAGTGGAGTACTGCTGTGTTGATTGCTCCATTTCGTGCGTTCATCTTTGTCGTCATCGTTTTCGAATGTCGTATTAAAGGGTATCCTACGCAGTCGTCTGCTGTTGGCGATTGATCTTTTGTTTTCAGCGAATTAGAATGAAAATTTGGACTTCAGAGCATGTCTTCGAGTGAGTTATTCGTTCAAGTTTTCTTCTTTGCTGATCCTTCTTATCGAAATAAGAAATTATTCTTATTTTAGCCACGACTGGGAGACCGTGGTAACAGCAGCATGGCGAAAGTATCCTAATCCTATGAATCAAGGAGTGACTGGAATGGATGTATTAAGGCAGACTTTACATGCAGGAAAACTTCTATCTGAAAGAATCATCCAGTCACATTTCCAGATTCCCAGTTGGGCAACAAAGGTCAGCAGAGAAGTTTTTTGTGATTCAAAAACATTTTTGTTAAAATTCAAGTCTTTTTATTTCTCGTATGTCTTTTACTAATTTCATCACCATGCTGACTTCTTTTTTTCTCTATCATGTAATCGTTAGACGTGATACGAGATGGGGTGATATTTGTCCTTGCATTGCCTTACATTGCAACTTTTCTAGTCTAGTTATCAATTTTTGGCGTTATATCCGCCGCTCAGGTTTGATAGTAGGTCTACTTATCAAATAATAAAATGACTCGTTTGGGAGTCTTGAAATCTGTTACCAAACCACTGCTAGGAGCGTAAAAGTTGACGGGCTGTTAACGACGAGTTGACGGGATTTATTCGGCTGATAGGATGGTTTTCAGAGGACACATCAATTTCACGTGTAGTCCTCAAAACTACGCAGCAGTTCGAAACTTTTGACTTGAGTCGCTTTCTTTTCTTACTGTTAGAAATCTACCGATTTCTCTTCTGCAGTCACTAGCAATATCGAGACCCTCTCAGTTATCTCCAAAAACACACCGACTGCATTCACACTGAATTCGTTACTCCAATTAGTGGTTTAAGCTTGGTTGAATTGCGTTCTGAGGACTTCTATGTTTCCCTCAAGAAGTTTGTTATCATCTGAGCAAACTGCGCTAAAAATCCTGTTTTCAGCTGACCGGATTTTCTGGTACTCAATACTCACACGAATATACCGTAATCGATCCAGAAAGTAAAACTATGTCATTGACGACGCGAAATGTAAGCTTTTCAATCGGGACTATTTGAACCCATCAGATGTTTTTTAATTACTTGTTTAGCTTAATGGCTCACATTTTCTTCGCGTAGACGAGAAGCTCACCTACACGCCACTTCCAGAAGATCCGACGAAGTAAGTCTTTGGGGAGTGTACAAACTCTGTTTTCTTTTTTGACATCTGCATCTATCAAGATCTATTTCAGGACCATTTTAAAACAAGAAGCCAATGTCACCGTTACGTTGCCAGCGTTCGCTGATTATTGTGAGAAGACATTCATTGGGGTTTATTCTTCAAACGCTGCCAAGGTGAGTAATGTCCAGATTGAAGAAAGGGCAGTGTTGATAGTTTAGCAAGGAAAGTCAGAACTCTCAGTTAGCTTTCAACTCGAACTAAATGATCATAGCCGTGGGCTAACAGTCCGCGAAATGGCATAGAATGTTGCCGTTCCGCTAGAATAGATTGCCCGATTTGGAAGGTACTTGCGTACTTTGTTCTTTTGAACGGTACTTCTTATCTTTCTCTGTTGGCTTCTTACGTGATGCGCTCTCTTCTTTGTTCCCCAGCAACGTTTTTGTTGTGCGAGCACTTCTATCTGTCATTTTATTTTATCTCTTTCCATTTGTCGCTTGCCATCAGAAAGTGCTATTTTGTCAGTAGTGCTCTCCAAGGCTCAATCACAGCCCTTACTATTTCCATTCCTTCAATGTCCACCCATGTCCTTTTGTTTGCAGGGAAGAAAAGGTGTCGAATGGGTAATTGATCAGTTGAAGAAGGAATACACTGATATCTCTTCGAAGATCTCTGCCGAAGTTTATGAGATGCAGGAAAAAGTTTTGAACGCCTTCAAAAATGCCGATAACTCAACAACTCCCATATCACCGTGATTGTTTTGAATATAGATGATGATTATTTTAGTCTTCAGCTAGAGCTAGAATTAGCAGTGACTTAATAATGTTATCTAGCTGTTCCTAGTTTTATTCGTTATTCAGAGTTGTGTTACTTCTTAGTTTTTCACAGTTGTCTATCTCCCGTGTCTACCTACTCGTGGAAGAGCGGTAGAGAAATATAATTTAAGAATTCACGGGTTGTGAATAGATGTCAAGGACGTATGTGAAGAGCAATTTTGTTGTCATAGACATTGTCGTGATCGTCTTGTATTTCATGTACTAGCAAGGCGATATACTTCATATCAGATTAGTTAATCATTGACGAATTGTTTTGTAATATGTGCGATTGATTCCCGGTCTCCCCTATCTACCTGCAATAAACATATATCTACAGCTCGTTTTGTTGTCAAAAAATAGGTTTCATGCAGTTTTGCAGTTTTTCTTTCACGAAATAACCAGGTCTTCCAATAGAAAGGCACTTTTTGAGCTAAACAATGTAAGCTTCAACAGAAGGGTATAGAAATTTATCAAAAAGTCTATTCACTAGTTTTCTCATCATGATTTACAAGGTTGCGAAAGTCGAACATATTTTCTGTCGTCTTCGTTTTTATTTGAAGAGGAAACAGTTCACCATCACGTCGTGCTCGAGCTCGTTGGTACAGTACACCGGCTCTACGGGAAACCGTAAGTCTTTGGATCCCATCATATGCAGTACATAAATCACATGTTACATGACCGCTACTATGTCGCATCTAAAAGCAATGAGTAAAAAGTATTGCATAGAGAAGCTAGATATTAATTTAGAAGAGAACTAGTCTCTTACAAATTGGAGTCACGAAAGCCGGTTCTGCCATAATCAGTAAAATAAATCACCGTCAGAATCCTAGTGATGGTGTCCTGAGAATGTCGCATGCCCTTTTCCAGAATAACGAACGAAAACTTTCCGATCTCAGTGCCACCTTCCTCATGTCGTGAACGCTTACCATCTGCTCGTATAACTCGCCATCGAACGGAAAATGTACATGGACTTCTGGAAGATGGAAATACTGCGATTGAATTTAAGACAAGATTTGATACGCACTTAGATGTCAGTTTTGGACATCCGAGATCATGTGGACATGGCGAGTATACAGTGGCAGGAGGCAGCGCTGTTGGCAACTCCAACTCAGGAGGAACCTACAAATTTTGATTCGAACTGTTGAAACTGCAAAGCTACTCACCGTAGAATGTATTCATCTTCAGTGATAGAAACATAATAGGCTCACCATTTCACGAATTATCATAAACCGCTCCAAATCGCTAATGTGTTTATCGTTAAGGACCTCTTCAATTTGAGGTGACATCAAATTACGTTCCTACAAAACATAACTGCATCTAAAACTTCGTCCCCAGTTCTTCACTAGAAAAAAGGCAACAACATAGATATTTATAATGTAAGGGGTACAGCTAAGAGCATCCGTCTGAGAGTCGGGATGTCTTTTACGCCCAGAAGAAATCGAATCAGAGGTAAAGATGGAATTC